TGAGTTTCACCTTCCCCCTGCCCCTGCCTTATCCAGCCTGTGGCTGCCCCTGAAGTGTTCTGCATGAGGCTGAGCCCTGCCCACTCCCACCTGCGGCAGCCCATGCCATGTTCTGGTCTGCACATGTCCTGCACTCCCTGATGTCTCTGGGCCCAGCCAGCATACACAGCTTCCTGGCAGGACTGCTTCTGCTGCTGCTGAAGCCTCCGGGGTACTGCTTGGCTCCCCCTCCCTCCAGTGGCTCCCCCTCCTTTTCCTGCCCCTGCTGCATTGCTCCAGGCAGCAGGCAATGCAGGGAAGCAGGGGCAGCCTTAGGGATGCATACCAGGCACCAAATGTCCAGCCAGGTGATAGGGAAGCTGTATCCGGGCAGCTCCTGCCGCATCACATGGGGCAACTGTTCCAGTTCTTGGCTGCCTTCCACCCACTCTGCCCACCCGGTGTAATGATGAGCAGGCCACCTGTCAGCAGCTGAGTGGGTGGAAGGCAGTCCCACTGGGAAGCTGTATACACAGGCTGGGGCCGGGGCCGGGGCCGGGACAGGGGTGGTGCCATCAGCTGGTGCAGGGCTGGTGTGGGTGGAGCCTGGCACGGGCTGCCCCAGGTCGAAGTAGGTGGGGCTCAGCCTTATGTGGAGCACTGTGGGGGTAGTTGGAGGCTGGATACAATCAACTGGCAGTTGGATTTTGCACACTCCTGGCCTAGACATATCCATGGAATTACAAGTCATTCCATAGTCATGGCCAAAGCAGTCAAAGAACAGAGCATTTGCTCCTGCTCTATATTGTCAGAAAATTTCTGCCTACCCCATGCCAGTTCAACTCCTTGCCCCTGCTTACCCAACCATGTAATGTGAGGTAGGAAGACGGTATTTACCTATGTTGACCTGCAATTTTTTTGATTACCATAGCTGTTTTACTGAGCAGCAAATAGCACAGCAATATCAAAGAGTAAGTGATGGGTTGGACCCAATAGGCACATCTACACAAGATGCTTTACTGCACATTAGACTAATGCCCAGTAAAGTGTCACTATCTACACATGCATAGAAATTTATGCACAGAAAAATAGGCTAATAAGCTGTTTGCTAGTACCAGGAAATACAGGTACTAGATTAACAATGCATTAGCTACTGCTTAGTGCATATGTGTAGACACTTACTGGGAACAATTTGCTTCTGGTCAGCTCAGGCAGCAGGGGGCCTGTTGCTGTCTGCTAAGTCCCTTGCTGGGGAGGGGGGGATCTGTGCCAGCAGCTGGGACTGTTGCATCCCCAGTCATGTGGAGATCAGGTCCTGACCCTCCCAAACTCCACATGGTTGGCAGGCAGAGTCTCCACTGACACAGGCAGTGGAAGACCAGGGCTAATGGGGCTTAGCCCTCCCACACTAATTTTGCAGCAGCCAGAGAAAATGCCACTGCCACCCCCTGCCGCCACAGCACCGTGCCCAGCACTCCCACCGTGCATTCCGCCACCACAGTGTGTATAGCACCAGCATGCGCTGGCCCCTGCAATGGCCCTACCGGGGGGGAGGAGGGGGGTCAGGCAGGTGTGCTCTGCACTACCTAGCCCAGGGGCAGGCAATTATTTTGGGCAGAGGGCCGCTTACTGAGTTTCGGCAAGCCATTGAGGGCCACATGACAGACAGCACAGGGCAGATTAATGTTCATTTTCTAAATTTTTTAGGGGCCCCACGGCTGGATAAAATGGCTGGCAGCCTGCATCCAGCCCCCGGGCCGCATTTTGCCCACCCCTGGCCTAGCCACTCCAAATAACATTTTCTCCACTGAGTGGGGATAACTCTCCTGGCCCTTTGGGGATCCAGATCAGGGTCTGTGCACCCTGCCAGCCCAAGGGCTGGCACCCAGGGAAGCCTGGAGCTCTTCCTGTCTGCTGCAAGGAGGCAGAGCGGGGCTGGAGCAGTCCTGGATTGGGCTGCTCCTTGGGTGCAGTTTGCTCCCAACAGGGGCTAATGTGTAGACATGCACTCTAGAGCACTTGAATGAGCCTAAATTTTCTGCAAATAAAATTCAGGCACAGTAATTTCATTTGTAGACACACCCTATGATTCCTTTCTAGAACTGCATCAGCTGTGGGCCTGCTTTTGTACCGTTCACATGCAGAAAATGTTGTGTGTGCATGCCTATTGGTACACAGTTGGAAGTAAAATGTGATAGGGAGGTTAGAGAGCATTTGATCTCATGAGTGTGCTTTTCAAATGTGAGTACACTTCTCTACAGATGAGGGACTTGAGACAGATGAAAAGCACTCTGCTCATTGTCAGAACACAAGGCAAAGGCTGATCCAGAAACAGAAGCTGGATCTCGATTCCCAGTCTGCCAGCTCTGTTGACATGATTGTGTTTCATGGCTAGCAGTATATCCATGCCTACTGGTTTGGACTAAGTCATAAAAGGAGGCTTGTTAATCTTTTTACCTGGAATAATGAAGATCACACTTGAACACATCTCTCTTGAGACCCGTCCCTTCTACGCTCTCACTTGTAACACCCCTGGCTTGCCCCCCACTTTTTAGTCAGTATGCCTGCTTACAAGCAACATACACTTGGTGTGTGACTGTGTCACCTGCTTAACCATAGTCACCCCACCACCAACACATACACACACAGATTCTCCATTTACATGTACACTGGAATATAATATCCAACACTCCACTGTGGCTGATGCAAGGCAATACAGGATTAAAGCTACATGCAAGTCTCAAGAGTCTTTTCTCAGAGCAATGTTTACTACTATAGTCCATTCAGAAGCCCAGAGACACCATCTACTGGCAAATGTGCTGCAGTTCTATTAGCATCACATTATGAATAGGAGCCAGCTTGGCCAAAAAGAATACCTTTTGTAGTCACACTTTTTTGCAGAAGTGTAACTAGACTCTTGATCACCATGGGCAGCAGTAGTGGCCAGGCTGGCAGTGCAGCTGCTACTATTTTTGTGTCAACCCCAGGGTCTGTGCCCAGGGCTGGAGTCTTGATGACTTCCTCTTCATTACACTAGTGCTTTTGTGTTCCTGCCTGGACTCTGTGTGTGCTCACGCTATGAAAATATGAACCAAATGATGGGTTTAAATTTTCTTCCTAGTCTTTCTGTTAATAAAGGAAGGAAACCTTTTTTTAAAGATATTTAATAAGATATTTTTTCAAATCAGTACAAAAATCTTAAATACAAAAATTATTTGCTGTTGACATGTCTCATATATATCCTGGAAACATACCAAGTTATCAATGGCTGGTAAACTGTCCATTGCTGCCAACATTCCATAAAATATCTGGGACTGAACACCTCACTACTGTCATCTGAGTCTTTTGTGGATGGTCATGCTGCATTAAATTCGGTATTTAAATAATGGTAATGCAAGGTAAATCCATTTTTTTAATGGAAGATCCCACTTCATTTTGAATTAAATGTGTTAGCCTTATCCAAAACAAAAGTCAAGAGTGTTCAACCTGCTTTTTAACTAATGCCATAGTGTGATGACACTATTATTTTAAAATTAATCCTAGTAATTAACTTTTTTTTGCTGTGAGACTAGCGTTATTGCTTAACAGACAGTACCTTGCAAAAAGTTGCTTTCCCCACATATACACAAGTTTGAAACCTGTGTATACACAAACTTAGATGATCCACAATGAAAATAAATAACAAGGGCTGGAAATTATTATGTGAAATGAAACTTTTCAAATCTGTTTGCTTGAACCTTGTTATTGATATAATTAATGGACCACTTCAAGCCCATTTATTCACTTTTTTTCTTTAGCAGACACAGCAGCAGCACTTTGTTGTTCATTTGCTCATAAACTGGTGTAAGTTTGGATGAACCAAATAACAAGAACATACTGCTGAAGCCAAACAGAACACAGGTTCTGAGCATGAGTCTGGAAATGTGAGTATATAGATATGAGTCTGCTGCACTGACGAGAATTGGCCAAAATGCTACGATGTGGCCCAAATGCTACCTTTGACATAACAGATGAATGAAGTAATTGGACTAGAACCATGTCTGAGATTAATTTGACCCATCTTTCACTTTGCAAATGCATATGGTGGCTTCTTCAATGCTTTGGCATTCGAGGGGTTTATCCAGTGCCTATGGAAGGCAATAGAAGACTCCCTTCAATTCCAGTGAGTGTTGAAAAATGGGCTCATTTAGCAATAATTAAAGCTACCCTGTGCTAATGTCCTTTCTCATTTTGTATATAGGGACCTAACAGGACTTAAATGGCAGTGAGACTAAACAATTTTCATGGGTTGGTCATGACATAAACAGTAAATTTTGTGGATATTTCCTGGATGTCCTCCACCAGCCCTGTCCCTCAATACTGTTTGTCAGAGAGGCCCCAGCATAAGAAGGAAGGATAAGGGGACAGCCATCATCTTGTACGCTGCGTTTTGTGCAGTCCTGCCTGCTGGTGAGTTTCCCCCTATGTGGGCTACAGCAGCAAGGACCACTGGTTCCCCTGGAGAGCCACCATTTTATTTATGTTGCTTTTGTGGGCAATACCAGATTTCATGGTTTCTGCAAAATATACACAATTACAAATCGAGTAGACTCATACTTATGGATCATATAAAACTGATATTTTACATTGGGAAAAATAAAGATTTCAGGCTAGAAGTGTCACTGCTTATGGTGTAGATAGATAAACCCTGTTTCAGAAAAAAAGTTCATTCAAACTTTATATAATTATATATTATATTTCATACTGACTCATTCTGTTTTAAGTTATTCTTCATCTCATATTTTAGATCATTGTTTCATGTAAGTAGGCAACAGGAGTGAGTGACATACACTAGATTTGAACCTTACTACTACGTTACTGTAAATGAAATGAAGTAAGCACGGTATCACAGAAATATATAATGTACAGCTAATATGTCCCCATTGGGTACAAAACAACTGTAATGAACCTGATACACATTATTAAATATGTTCACTACACCATTTTATAACTAGTTGTGCATAATGTTAAACTTTGTACTTTTTCTTTTTGGTTTTTTTTTGTTTTTTGCTTTTTTGTATAAGGTGGTCCAAAACAGTCATTTAAATGCATCTTTCAATGGTATAAAAGTTTGAAGCAGAGAGAAAAGTTTAGGTTTTGTGTGTTTTTTGTTTTACATGGGATACAATAAATACCCTGAAAAAGATGAGTGAACATACTGCCCAGCATAGAGTCCTGCTGCCTGTTCAGATGGCATCTGGACGTAAACTTTGTCTCCATGCATGAGCGGAACGACAGCACTTCCAGAAGCTTGGTCCAGGAAGCCCTTTTTGTACTCGTCATACGTGTACATCAGCGGCTCATTGTTCTTGAACAAAGCCACCCAGACACTGGCCCCTTTACAGTGAACATGGTAAGCGAAGTAGTAAATTCCTGGGATCTCACAAGTGAAGATCCCCGTCTGTGGGTTATAGTTCTGCCTGCCATTGTAGAGGAGCTTGTCAAATTTCACAGGCACCCCAACCCGTGGGAAAGGTGTGAGGAGTTCTGCTGTGAAGGCAGGCATTTCATAGACAGCAGCACCGTTCTTGCCTTTCTTGCCCATATAGCCAGTTGGGGTCTTCACTCCATCTAGGCCTGGCCCCACCTCCGGCAAATATTGTCCAATGGCTGGTGGGGTGGGTGGGATGACTACTGGAGGACCAGGAGGACCTGGGGGCCCTGGGGGACCTTGGAGTCCAGGCTGGCCAGGGGGTCCAAGGGCCCCAGGCTTTCCTGGTGGTCCTTGGAGGCCTGCAACACCAGGTTTCCCTATTCCTGGAAAGCCTGGTGGGCCTGGTAAACCTGGTTCTCCCTTAGGCCCTGGAAGTCCAGGGGGTCCAATTGGACCACTGGGTCCTGCAATACCAGGGATTCCAGATGGACCTTGGTGGCCCTGAGCACCATGGATTCCAGGCTCTCCTTTAGGGCCTATAAGCCCTGGAACACCAGGCAGACCTGGTAAACCTTTGTGACCAGCTTCTCCCTTTGGCCCTATTGGACCAGGAAGCCCCCTCAGACCTGAAGGTCCCACTTCCCCAGGAAAACCTGGCTTTCCTGGGAAGCCCTGTAGGCCTGGTTCACCTTTGGGACCAATAGGGCCTTGAGGCCCTACAGCTCCACCTTCTCCTTTTGGTCCCGGAAATCCAGTGACACCAGGGGGCCCCATTACTCCTGGTAATCCAGGCTGGCCTGGCTCCCCAGGAGGCCCACCCATGCCAGGAGGCCCCACATGCCCCTTTTCACCTTTAGGCCCAAGTGGGCCAGGGAGACCACCCATGCCACGATCACCTTTAGGCCCAGGAAAACCTGGTTTACCAACCCCTGGCAAGCCAGGTGGTCCTGGTAAACCTGGCAAGCCTTGTTCACCTTTCCCACCTGGGAATCCAGGCTGGCCTGGGATTCCATCTTGGCCTGGTTTCCCAACCCCTGGAAGGCCAGGTGGACCTTGAATCCCTGGTACACCAGGAAGGCCTTGTGGTCCTTGTTCACCTGGAGGTCCAGGTTTACCTATAGGGCCCTGTGGTCCTGGAAACCCAATCATTCCTTGTTTGCCTATGCCTGGAAGGCCAACTGCTCCTGGGGGTCCAGGTAATCCAGGTGGACCTTTTAATCCGGGTAAACCTGGAATCCCAATGCCCTTTTCTCCTTTAGGTCCTGGAATCCCAGGAGCTCCTGGTAGTCCTTTCATTCCAGGTTCACCCTTTGGTCCCTGTTTTCCTGGTAATCCTGGGGCTCCTGGTTTTCCTAATCCAGGAAGTCCGTGAGGTCCTGGTGGTCCTTGTGGTCCTGGTATTCCCATAGGCCCAATCTCTCCCTTTGGTCCGACCTCACCTCTTGGCCCAGGTGGCCCCATTACTCCTGGTTTTCCAGGCATTCCGGGCAATCCTGGCTTGCCAATTCCTGGATATCCTTGTGGACCTGGTTTTCCTTTGGCTCCTGGCACTCCATGGCCTGGTAGTCCTGGGGGTCCTGGTGGCCCTCTTGGTCCAGGCTCACCAGGGGGACCTTGTTCACCTCTCAAATTGACTAAAGGGATTTCTGTTTTTTTAAAGACAGACAGACAGAACAGACAGATAGATGTTACCTACATGGTTTCACTCACCCCTACCTTTCTTTTGTTTCTTACAAAAAAGTCATCTGCACCTTTATTCAGTTGGTCATATATAAGGTTAGCCTCCAAGTGTGTGATGAAATGCAAAAATGTCACTATTTTGGGATGACTTCTTATAGCCTTATCTGCACTTAAACATTTTGCCTTCCTAATAGAGATGAAGTTATAATGGCCAAGAAGTGCCATTGCTAGTCTACCTTATATGTTTGATTAGCAAAACAGGATGTACTGGGTAAGTCTAGATGAGTGTGCGTGTGCATTTCCCCAGGGTCAAATAGCAGTGGCACATACATAGCTGTCCCCAGGGAATGTCCCTGCAAGTGTGCTGCGGCACATGGCAAATTGCCCCAGGTGGGGTAGGGGGAAGCTGGGGCCAGCACCTGGGCTGCTCCAGCAGCCTTACCAGGGATCCTGGGGACTTCCCAGGGCTGAAACAGCAGCAATCTGGGCATGCAAAGCCCAGCCAGTAGGACTGTGCAAAGCTTTGGGTGGTGATTCGATTCAGAGGAGATTCAGTCCAATTCGGTGGCCGAATCTCTGAATCCAGATTGAATCATGGGACCAATTTAAAGGTCTGAATCAATTCAAAGCTCTCCAAATCTTTGGAAAACATTTGGAGATCTTTGATGATTCAGACAGTCCCTGGTGGCTGCAGCAGGGAGCTGCAGCTGACTCCGAACTGGTATGCACTAGGGGCAGAGGAGGGGGGGCTGGGGGAGGGGACAATGGGAGGACCCCTGCCAGCCCCCCAACCCCCCCTGCTCCCCCAGCCCCC